GATTGGCTGTTGCTTGATATCCCAGGTGTGGCTGCGCTTGATGTGCATGTTGACAAGGTGCCTACCTGTCTATTACCCACTACCTCGTCCATACTGGCTCCAGGAGACAGTTGGTCGTTTGCTGGAGGGACGGGGGTGCACGGTCCTTGTGGCCGTGCTAGACTCGAAGAGTGGTTCCCTGCACTCAGTGTGGCGCGGACTACGGTGCAGCCACCGCCTTGTGTGCGCTTGATTCCCCCAATACAGCGTGCTTGTGTTTGCATATGAAGGAGTGTAGGCCGGCTCGTTGATGGAACGTGGACCCCATCCACATGCCTCCCGGTCTTATCCCTTCGGGTTTACACTGGATATGGGGTGTGTGGTTGGAGCTGTGGGTGGTGCAGCGCAAGCCACCCATGGTCCCTCTGTAGGCGCAGGCGTCCTGTGGCTGGTCACAGTGACAGGCAAATCCGAAACCGGATGGCGACACCATATATTGGAAGCCGTACCCACGGACGCCGTGGATTTTTGGATAATCGTGTGCTGGATACTACTTTTGCTTCGGATTACTGTGTTATAAGTGTATTTTCTGTGAGAATTGCGCACCAATATTCTTCTTTTGGTGTATTTTCCAATAGGTGCAAAGTTGGTGGATATTCTTTGGCTAATTCCGGAGATCTCATTGATTGGCCCAACTGCCATCCGCCATCTTAGATTTGCTCTACCTTGTGATGCCGTCTCAAGCTACTTGTGGTTCGTGTTCGAAAGTTGTTGGAAATAAGGCTCATGCACTTCGGTGCTTCGGCTGCGATGTTTTGTTCCATATTTCGTGCATTGGCTTATCTGTTGATGTGTTTCGAAAATCTCTCGACATCCGACATCGGTTTTTCCAAGTTATATGTGATAAATGTCGCGGTGCAAGACATCAGAATACACAGCGACCGCCAACGACTACAGGAAAACCTCTCTTACAGGCAGAAACAAACCGTTCACCACGTGGGGTCAAACGCCCTCGTGAAAGTACCTCTGTCACCTCGCCTTCTCTTGTCACTCCGCGATCTGCACCACCACCAGCGTCTTCGACCCCGGCCGAGCCTCAGGTTCAATGTTCCCCACCGATGGAAGACTCAGACTCGGAACCTACGAAATGCCGCTTCACTGATCGGTCCGTGAATTTCTCAGAGCCTGTCTGTGAACTTCTGAACACCGAGGATCCATGGACCACTCAAAAGCGCAAGGGGCCACGTAATCGAGTTCAGGCGTCCCCTGCTGATAAACAACAACCCAAACAGATAAGCGCCTCTAGTCCTGCTCCCACAGGTTCATCACCGATTTCGCTGAGGCGTCATAATCTCATGGTCTTCCACGTACCAGAGTCAAAAGATGAAAACCCTCAGATACGTTATGATCACGATGTTGAGTTCCTCCAGGGGCTCATCGATAGACTCTTGGATGTGGGCGAAGACAGTGTGACGATTAAACAAGTAATCCGACTTGGCCAGAAAACTAACCAGTCATGTCGACCTCTGAGAATCACCTTTGCAAATCACAATATGCCGCAGCTCATACTGTCTCGTCTGTCAAGGCTGAAAGGCATAAAAGTTCACATCCGCCGAGACTTGGAACCCGAAGACAGGGATCGTTTGAAGACTGCGGTCATTGAGCTCAAACGCCGTACAGAAGAAGGTGAGACTGACTTACAAATTGTAAATTTTCGGGTGATCAAGAAGGGTGTACGAACCCGTATCAACCGGTTGCTCAACCTCCAGACAGGTACGCGGTACCTCCCAGGACCTCCGTGTGGCATTCACCAACGTGTGCAGCCTAATGAACAAACGTGACGAACTGTGCCGCTTCGCTGCTTCGAAGTGGCCGGACGTTTTAGGACTTACAGAGAGTTGGCTGAACTCCGATGTCATATCCCAAGAAGTCGCGTTGTCAGGATACTCTTGTTTCCGATGCGACCGAAAATCAAAGGCTCACGGTGGTGTTCTGTTGTACATAAAATCGTCACTATCTGGCAAACTTACCAGCACCTATCGGAGCGAGGATAACTTATGAGAGCAATTGTGATGCACAGTCGGCCTGACGCGCAGAACTAATAGTGGGTGTTAGCTACCGTAGCCCATTAAACCTTTTATGCGAGTGGCTACCACATAGACAGAAGCATATGAGCCGCGCTCATTCCTTACTGATGCGGGGTCTAAATTTACTTAAGATATTCTGGCCAAAGGTTCGGCTTCTTCCCGGTCATGGCGACGTTGAGGTTCAATTCGCTAAAATGACTATTGAAATCGGGGCAACGCAACATGTCATCCAACCGACGCGCGTAACTCCGCACTCCGCATGTGCCTAATGTTTACGAGCTGCAAGCAGAAGCTGAGCGAGATCAGAGTCCTCGAACCTCTGGCGTACAGTGACCACTGCTCTATTGTGGCAAGTACAGAACTGTCGTTACCGTATTACAACCAACGGAAGCCGACATTCAACTATTGGAAGACGGACTTCAATGGGTTCGTCCAAGTCGCAAGTCAAACTGATTGGACACTACCACAGGATGCATCGCTTGAGGCCTGTTGGTCATTAATGAAGGGGAAGCTTAACTGGCTGTACTCTGTTCGTTCCCTTGAAGTATTCAAATATCGGATCTGTCAAACTGTATTGATTTGATACAGAATACAGACAATTATCGCGACGGTGTCGCAAACTTTGGGATGGATACATCAGCTCGGGTTGTGATGAAGACTACACGGTGTACAAGAAAAAACGTAAATTATGTAACGCCTCAAAAATCAAGAAACGCCGGCAGTTCGAAGAGGAGCTAGCATCCTTGGCCATAACTGCACCCAAAAGAATATTTACCTACTTGAAACGTCAAATGAAACCAGGGGGCGACCTACCGGTCTTAGAGAGCTTGGACTGACAGATGCTCATTTCAAGCGCGGAGCGCACGGACGCCTTGGCTTCGCACATCCTCGCTGCATTTTCCAGTAAACTGGCGGCTGTTTCAGTACCGGCACAGGTTGTGTCAGTCTTGGTCGACAGCCTACAATGTGATGCAGTCGAAGTGTATCAGCTACTCATCAATCTCGATGGTGCAGAGCCTCTCGGACCAGACGGACTTCATCCACTAATACTTAAGTCCCTATCGATTATCATCTCACCAGCCGTGACAAAACTATTCAAAAAATCGCTCTCTGAAAGATCTGTCCCCAACGACTGGAAATGCTCGATAGTGAGACCGCTTCCCAAGGGTGGTGAGCCGAGTAAACTAGAGAACTATAGACCAATCTGTTTGACTTCGATATTATCCAAAGTTCTCGAGAAGGTTGTGAAAGAGTGGCCGCTGTCGTTCTTCGAATCGATGGACGTATGGACACTAGTGCAACACGGCTTTACGAAAAGTCGATCCTGCATCACCAACTTGATGTACGCAAATCACCAGTGGGTACGAGCTCTCAACGAACGGAAGGACGTTGTGGTGTACATTGACTTCAGTAAGGCGTTTAACAGAGTGAACCACGAAGTACTCCTTCGTAAACCAAGGACCTACAGAATGAGTGACACGCTACTTCAGTAGTTACACGAATTTGTTGTGGGACGGAAGTTTAGAGAGCAGGTCAATGACTACCTGACAGACTGGTTCCCATCGACTAGTGGCGTGCCTCAAGGAACTGTACTTGGGACAGTATTATTTCTTATTCATATTGACGATCTCCCGCAGCAGCTCCAGTCACCATGCGCCCTGTTTGCAGATGATTTGAAAATCTGGAGGATCATTAAGAACCAGGACGACTGCGCTCGACTCCAGCACGACTTAGATCGACTATCAACGTGATCCACCGAAATGCAACTTCCTCTTAACGCAAGCAAGTCGGAGTACATCAGTATTGCCAGACGTCCAGCCACTCGATCGTACAGTTTGGACGACAAGTTACTCCATCCTAACACATCTGTCAGAGACTTAGGAGTGCTCTCACGACATGATATGAGATCACTATAAAATACAGAGAAACTGTACCGTGCGGGACTTTGTATGTTCTGGGCATTACGACGCAGTTTCTCCATATGGTCTGAAGAAAACGTCCCTCGCCTATTCATCTTGCTCATCAGACCAACCCTTGAATACGGCGCCCCAGCTTACCATCCGATAACCCAATGGGAAACTGAAAAGCTGGAGAAAATACAGCATATCGCAAGTAGAATGATACCGAGTCTACGAAAGCTTCCGTATAAAAAACGTTGTGAAAGACTCAGACTCTGCACACTATCCTACCGCCGAGTGAGAATTGACCTTATGGTGACCCATCGAGTACTACACTTGTATCACTTCCCCATACTTCGGCCAGTATTTCACCTGCGGGAACCCTGTAACAACCGAAGACATCGTTACAAACTCAGAGTCCGCTGCATGAACAAAGTATTACATCAACTTGCAGAGAACAAAGAATTGTAAACATATGGAACATGCTACCAAAAAGACTAATAGAGGTCAATTCTGTGAAGACTTTTAAAACACGTAACAACTATTATTTCGGAAGCTTGTGCATTTTTGAAACGGTGAACAGGCAATAAAAAAGTGCATCCTATACCCGGAAATAATCACACCAATACGAATTCCTAACCGAACAAGGATAAAGGATTAACTGTCTAAACACCACCGCTGACAAGTCACAATTAGTTTTGAATTTTCATAATTCGAGAGTTGAACATAAACCTTTCTACTTGCTTTTAAATACAGCTTCAGTCTCATAAAAGCCGGACTGCAATTCAATTTTTAGTTTCACCAGTCCCCACCACACATCCACATTTGCTCGCATCCGCTTCCACGAGTTGGTTTAATGACGTCTGTAACCTCTCCAATGCCGTCAGCAGTGGTTGTCAGTATTTACCTCCCCATATTGGTGGGGAGGTAGTGGGGCGGATATGACAAAGGTGATAAGAAGAAGCCTATGCGGTGACGAATTTACAGGAAGTTGCAATGGTGTTGGGTCCCGGAACAATGCCGAAAGCAACGCTATTTAAGTGATGCCTCTTAAGTGTGAAGTTGATAAATGTACGCATTTCATACCGCATCTATTCAGTGAATAGTAGCCGCAGAATAGTAAACATGTGAAATCCAGCCGGAAGATCCTTACTCTGGTGTAAGACTTGCGCTGGATAAGCGTCTCTAATCGGCGAACAACTTCAACAGCCACAACAGAAACCAGTCGATCGTTGTTTCCTGGTGAGAAAACGGTCTGTGAGAGGAGAGGTGAAGAAAAAATAGAAAACACCCTCAATCGGTGACTGAAGTGTACGCTGCAAGTGACTATATATATATATATATATATATATATATATATATATATATATATATATATATATATATATATATATATATATATATATATATTAAACAAAATCTGTGGTACAGATATTGTGCCATGGGAATCATAGCTGGTTAGGAAAACAGTATGCATAATAAGAAAATAACAGCAACAAAAGCTTTTTTGTCCCGTGTACCTAAGGTTTGTTGTGAATTAGTGACGGAAAATCGATAGGCTCCAGTAATCCAAAATATCCCTATCAATCCGTCGAGCGATTGGCTTGAGGAGAGCGAGCGTTACTAACCACAATTTGTACAATGAAGCGATTTTCAGAATAAAAAGGTGCACACAACCAACAGAACAGTAACGACATAGAGTTCATCAGCCTCTAATAATAACCATTCGTTAGGTGGCCGAGTCGGATGGACTTCGAGACACGGTTTCAAGATGCGACGCGCGCCTGCGGCAGGCCGCGCGGACAGCTGATAAATGCAGTTCATCATCAATGGAACGGGTTGCTAGGTGGCAGGCGTGAGCGGGGATGCAATTAATTGGAGTTGTAGACAGCCAAATGCTGGAGACAGCGAGTGGGTGCGGACGTGAGCAGAGAGATGACCGCCAATCAGCCAAGTGACATACAGTCGGATTAAAGTGCAGAGATGAGAACATGTGCCCAATAGATGTAACCATCCGCTATCCTTAAGAGACACCGGTCTGACAAGTATTGTCTCCTGTTTCCCCGACTGAAATGGACAGAGCATCAGGCATGGAGCAACGTTATAACAATGCTCTAATCGGTAGTAGACATTTTCAGAAGGAGAAAAGGGCATTGAATAGGCTTCAAAAAATAACAAAGTAGTAGTAATAGTAGTAGTAGTAATCTCAACAGTCTAGCAAGTAGACCTAGAGCTAACAAACACCATGGAGATTAGCGGCTAAGGGGAAGCCACGGCGTCATAATTATGGTGGCACAGTAGTTGAAAGTGAGCAACAGACTTCAGCTATTATGCCGCAGGAAGAAAGGAAAATTTTGACAAAATATAAAACTAAACATTTTTAGTTTGTTTTACACAAGCCGATTTTTCTCTTTTTTGTCATTTACAACGTTTGAAGTATTAAACATGTGAAACAGTACAATTCTGCACAGATTCTTCCACTGATTCCGGTTGCGAGTCGTCTTCAAGAGTGTTAAGCCACTAACACTCATCTTTGGGTTCCCTTCCTGGCAGACGTACGGGTCCAACCGCGGCAGGACAAGTCAGTGATTTCATGTGCTGTTGTCAAGTGGAAGGCTGGCAACCACGCGGTCGCCTCCAGCCAGATACTTGACAAGCGAACAGAGTGCGACGCAGAAGAAGCCCAGGTGCCATGCGTAGAACGTGACCGAGACACCTCAACTAGCGCAGCAAAACCAGTTTGTTGAAGGGAATACTCGCATTCCCCAAGATGCAAGGTCGAACGTCATTACTGTTAACTCGATGTTGCCGCCTGTCAAGATTGATAGACGCCTGATACGATTGTCACTGGCACGGTTTGAGTACGCCTACAATAACGGCTTGGAACGCTGACCGATCGAACGGATTTGCGCTGACGTGATGGCGTTAGCTTAGCCCGGGGTACGAGTTAGTGAGGCGGAAAACGCGCTAGCGTGAGAACGATCCTAGCCATACGTATTCAGATAGACGCTGAGCCATCGTAACTGATGAGGCTACGCACACGAGAGGGAGTGACGGTAGACGCGAACGCTACCCGGCTATCGACACACAAAAGTCACGTAACTGAACCGACTCCCAATTAACGGCGAAGAGAAAGCAAGACAAGTGGTCCTCTGAAGGCTCTTTTACGACCAACAAAGGGCGAATCACAGCCAATACTATGGGTCATTAAGTTAGTGAAAATAGCTACCACGACGGGGTGGTAGTTTGTAAAAGAACATTGTCAACATGTGCGCAGTTGTGCCGCGTCTCGGAGTGGCTGAAATCTGCTACCTTGGGGGGAAGAATTGAACTCCGCTTTCCACAGCCATTACGCCGGAGTTTGTGGTGCGTTTTTGCGGGGATATTTGAAAGGCCCGCAACAAAACAAACAAAAGCAATCCTCCTTAATCAACCGTTATCGAACGCAGAAGGACGACGCGTCTTCCACGCAAATCGCCCAGGACTCGCTCCCATACAATAACAATGAGCGAACAGATGCATTGTAAACGCGGCACTTTAGCGAGAACGAGACGTCGCGATGACATCACAAGTGTCTCAGATTGACAAATGCTGATCAGGCTTTAGCGATACGAAGGGAAACTTCCTTGCTGATAGCATCGTCAGCAGAAACACAGATCACAAGGCAGACGAAACTATCTACCTGTTCAAGTTATGCATCTTCGAGACTGAGCATGGGAGCAAGTGTAGGTCAATCCTAGAGCATCACTTTACACTTCGATGGGGCGAAGCTCATATCTTAATTAGATACTTCAACCGCCAAAAGATCCAGAATGAGTTGCATACCCGGAGGATCGTCACTAAGTAAGGCGATATCATCAGCATAATCTAAGTCGGTCGCGCGCTCACCCGGTAGAAGCTCTAGGCCAAAATGTTGGAAATCTTCTAGAGCACTCGACAGAACATCTTCGATTGCGTAGTTGAAGAGATATGGGGACACAAGGCAGCCCTGTCGTACACCACTATTGACAGTGAACGGTGAGAAAGGTTTGCCGTGGACCCTCTGCCGGAGATATGAAGATTAAGTGCTCGTAAGATGGCGGTATACTTCTCTGGCACCCTGTTCTTTAGCAAGCAACGACATAAAGCAGGTCGATCAACGGAGTCAAAAGCAGCACGTGCCTAGGAATGCAACGACAGTGGGTATGTGATAAATGTGGCGATAGTCGAGGAGTTGGCGGAGCGTGAAGATTTGATCCACGCATCCGCAACCGGGACGGAAACCAGCTTGTTCTTCACGGTAGGATGACTCACGTATTGGGGATAGTCTATGAAGCAGAATAGATGCCAATAGCTTGGAGAAAACCGAAAGAAAACTAATCCTGAGATGATTTACACATGAAGCACGGGCGCCTTTTTTGAAAACCGGGACAATAATGGATTCACCACAAGGGGGAAAACATTCTTTACATCCCGGATTTGTTGCTAACAGGGAGGTCAGCTGAGTAATGATCACCAGGCCGCAGTATCTAAACAGCTGAGGATGAATTCCTTCTGAGCGGGTAGCCTTGAACCACTTCAAGCGTCGAATCTCGAGGCAGACTTCCGCTTCGCTGGGTGGAATCAGTGGGACGAGCCAGAGTGGACAAAAAGGTGCACTGCATGTACTGATGGAGGGTGGAGACCAGTTGAATTGCGAGTAAAAGTGCTCGACCCAGCGGTCTATACACCTCTGTCGGTTGGTGATCAGAGACCTCGACCTCGAAAATACCTCACGGACACTAGGCTTCTTGAAACCAGGGGATCGAATGAGTTAGAAAAGTTTGCGAGTGTTGCCAGAGAGCGCAGCGGTAGGTTCAGACCACCATGCCTCGCGATCATTGCGTAGGTTTGGCTTGAGCAATTGGTTGGCAGAATGGCGCCGCTCATTGCAATCTGATTCCACCGGTCGAACAGCTCTAAAGAGAGAGCAAAGATCCAAGTTTTTAAGAGGCGTCGAGCTAGGCCGCAGCTTGACTGTCCGGAAACGGTTATCGCTTTGTATATACAAGTCCAGTGTTGCTCTATGTCTTGCGGTGTATTGTAACTGAGTGCGTATGTCAGTGAAGCCTGATAGTTCACATGGACAGAGGAAGCAGTTAATCTATGGAGTGCAGTGGTTTCAGGCGGGCAACACCCAATTTGCTGCTGCTTCAAGCAGTTAATCTGTTTACATCAATCTTGCGGTGCTTCGTGTTTCGGGACCCCCAAAACACATGCAGATTTTCGCGCAGATCAGTACATGATCTGAGTCAACGAAGGTGGACAGAAAGGATCTGCAGTTCAATACGCTACCACGCCATCTGAAGCTAACTGCAATGTGATCAATTTGAGACCACGGTTGTGTTGGCGAAGGGGGACGCCACGTTTCGGATTGTTTCTTCGTACGCCTAAAGTTAGTGCTCGAGAGAAACAGAGGGTTGTCTTCGCACAATGTGAGAAGCCTCTCTTCGTTATCAAAGCAGTTCTCATCGAGCGGTTGATGATCCCCAAGGTGGCGTTCGTATGGTAACAGGCGGCCAACCCGTGCATTAAAATTCCCGGCAAGGACAACGAGATTCGACTTTTTAGCATTAGTCAAGAGCTGTTGTAGATCCAAATAGTAGTCGTTCTTGACCGAGCCACCACTGCAGTCAGTTGGAGCGTACGCGGAGATCACAAATAAGTTGTGTATCATTCGCGGTGCATGAACCTCGAAGGTGAACTGTACAGAGTCGGCTGTTAATCGGGAACCAATCCAGTAGTGCCGCCACGGCGTTGCCACTTGGTGCTATACCTAAACCAGCCAAACCCGCTGAGGCTGCTTCCGGGTCTCCAGAAAGACGTAGGCGATATCTGGTTTCGTGGTCAGTTGGGGATGTCAATGTAAGCACAGTGCTAGGGTCTTGCGATCGGGTTTCCGAAAGACAGCAAACGTCGATATCGAGGGAGCATAAGGTGCGCGCTAGACCGGCTTGCTGTCCAATCTGCATGAGTGTCCGAACATTGAAGCACGCCAGACGAACGAGGATCGCGGACGAAGGAGAGCCATAGGTTGAACTCTATGGTTCGCGGATCAACCGGAATCGCAGCTAGATTTTTGAACACATGAATCGGAAAGTAGTGATTGTTAGCAAACAAACAAATGGCGTGTGATGAAGTCGCGTGAATATAAGAAGCATAAAGGGTAACCGATGAGCACGTTGTAGAACAGCCCACGGCTTTGAAAGAGAGTGTGATACTACCATATTGCCAAAGCTAAAGTAGGGGGTTGACTTAGGTGACCCCGCCCCGACCCTTTGGTTAAATAACCTACCCACAAGGCAGCGGGGCAAATTCAGGGAATCGCGCCCATTGATAGTCGCTGAATGAATGTTCAGTTTATACGTCTTTGGTATATCACAAAACAGGGGCCTCGATAGTCCCAATGAAATCAGCACAATTGCTAGACTATAATGCCCCACTGAGGTGGAACACGGTCGCCGAACACTTTGCTAGCACCACGAAAAGGAAGCTCGGCAAGCTAGCTCGCCTGAACAAAGGAATCAGTTAATCTGTTTGCATCAAGCTTCCGGATCCCTAAAACACATGCCGGTTAACATTTTTTTCATTACATTAATCCGTAAAGGACTATTATTGAATGTGCTGTATGATAATGTAAATTCAGTATGGGATATGCAGCTAATTTAAGGCAGTGGGACAATAAAGGTAGGATCACACGACAACGAGACCTGTCGGAGCTGCAGAGGCGGTCATTGTACGTCTTGAACTAACAGGTGTGCGAAGCGCAGGAACTACTATTGTGAAGTGCGAGGCGTGCCTGCATATGTGAAATGGTCTCCGTAAAGTCACAAGAACTGCAATAAAACTTGCAGCAACCCCATCCGCGATGAGACCAACAGCGATAATGTAATCTCCCGAATAGGCAAAAGTCCAACCACTTCGAGTGGTTGTTCAGTGATACTGAGAAGTGCTGTTAAATCCGTCCAGTCTTGTAACAGTACTGTGCATCCTGATGATGAAAAGCATGTACCATGCATAACAGAAATGAGTTTAGCGGGTCCGATGGAATAGGCAGATGGCTCATTTGCGTTGAATGTTCGATAGCTGTGCATTGCAGGCGAATGTGAAAATGGATTTACTTGGCCTTAGTGAGGGTACTCTAACGTCCCATGCACATTCAGAGTTACAGTGGGAAGAAAATGAACACTATCCTTCGCACTGAAGCGTTGCAATTCAAAAAGGAAGGCAACGGAAGTAAGTTTCCAAACTCACTCGGAATGGCTTGAGAAAAGTCTCCAAACCTGCCACACATGCCTCTACCCACGGATCGTTGGCCGCATAAACATCCAAATCTTCCTGTAAAGGGAACATAAGCAACGGTCAGCACAACAATGCAAGTGGACACGTGCGGCTCAGTCGGATTCCGGATTAAGACTGCGGTTTCACCGGAGGCCTAATTCATCTATGAGCGCATTACATATAGCAATGTATGGAAGAGTGATGGGACGAACCGACCACCCAGGCTGCCCACATGATGCAGTTGTTAGGGTGTCAAAGGGCTGGTGACAGAGAGCCGGAAAAAAAGCGCGAGAGACAGGCGTACTTCCAGAATTGCATAAAACTGTTATGGAAGAAGGGGGACAAAGTATAAGAAAATGTGACCAAGACCGGTTTAAACGTAGAAGTGTACAGTGTAATGGGATGAACGGAGAAAACAACAACTGGCTCAAACCAAACCACAAATAAGTATGTCAGCACAACAAAGAGAAAAGTATATGGGACGGAATACTTAAAAATATACAGACAAAGCAGTGAAATAGTACGGTATGCATACTTCGGTTATGTCATATCGTGTCGAACCCAACGGCTGCAAAATAGAGTTCACTTGAGCTCTCAGCACTGAGGTTGTGAGTTGATCGAAACCAGAATCCAGCAGCCGATTGAGTTGTTCGGAGCAAGAATGCTTTAGCTCCGTGAGACAGGCCTGAGCGACAAAGTGCAGGAGAAAGATATGGAGTTCAAGAACGGAACCAACTTCCTTTACGGCGATAGTGGAGGGTATGTGAACCAGACTGACGAAAAAGTGGAAACAACACGGTGCATACTCGGAGAGTTAAATGTTTCCCGCATGTTGATTATTAGTGAGATGAGAAAGACAGACGGAACGGGAACGAATCCGAAATAAATGACTGCGCCAAGCGTCTTGGATCAGAACATCTGATGTGCGCGCGCGAGAAATTCAAAATTCTAGGAACGAGTAGCTAGAGCAGACTACCGATAAAAATGGTGCAAATTGCAGACAACAGAGACGAATCGCTCTATCAGTAAAAGGTGATGAATAACCAGAGGTGCGTTAACAATACACGAAGCAACCAGTGAATAACAGAGGACGGTTGCGATGACAAACAGGGGACGTATGTGAATCATATCAACTGGCAAGCATTTGCATCCAACGAATGTCGATCCTTGTAGAAGATCAGTAACTCAACCAAAGATATCAGAGATAACAACAGCACAGCAACATTCTGTGTAGACACTCCGCTGCCGCACAACCGTCCGCGGTTGGATACAACCCGGGATACTGCGACAGCGCCTAAGCCTGTGGAGGAACGAGAACTGGTGCACAGGACGTGTAAATTACAAACAAAATATCCGAAGTTGTTAGACATTTTATTTTATATATGATTCCGGTTGAAACGACCTAGTCCGTCGCAAGCTCCAAATCCCAGCTAAAAACCGGAGGCAATCACAAGGATGCAGAAGCGTGTTGTCGTAGCGACTACCGAAATAGTATAAGTAGTCAAAAAGCAACGCATATTTATGGGCCAACCGAAGAATGTTGAATGTCGGACAGATATAAATAGATAAATAAATGTTTTATTCTCAACAACGCGAGACACGCCTGTATAGGCAGGATCATGGTGATACAAACTGTAATCACCGGTAAAAGCAAATAACGATAAAAGCTTCTCAGTGGCATTTGGATCAGTGTGATAGGCGAATATGAATTTTTGTAGGTGTGAGTGCGTATGACTGTGTCGCTTGGATTTGTAAGTGTAACGTCGTATTGGTGATGGTTTTTAATTGAATCGTCCGAGTGAGAACGGGTGAATGGAAATATTCGTAATGGATAACTGACGTTATTGGATTGTTTAAGATTATCCGGATACGCAAGAAGCAGTAAGTTTAGTTAGCGACGAGTCACATTCGCCACGTTGCAGAGTTGTTAAACATTGTGGCTTTTTATAGGGAGAACGCTTGCCAGAAGGAAACCCACCGGGTGTAAAAATGGTGCGTCGGATTCGAGTCAACCAATGAATGTGTCGCTTGTAGGGCTTGAAGCTTCTGAAATGACTTGATAGTTCATCAGAACGTTATTGACTCGAATCGTCTTCCCGTTGGAGAAATGGGTTTTCTGGATAAATTCCACTCCCTCCGGAACAAAAGCACCACACACACACACACACCCAGGCGGTCAGATGGATGAGTAACCTTATGTCAGAGACTCGAACTCCCACAGCACTGAATTCATCTCAGAACACAGAATCAATGTATCCGTAGTGTTGTCTGGCAGAAAGACGGCCGGTGACAAAGTACGCATAATTCAAAGAAGGGAAAAATGAGATATCAACTAACAAGGTGGTCACTGAAAGGCGCAAAAAGAAATTACAGGAGTAGAGTTTTCATCAAGGCGGTGCACGCCGTTCATGTGGATAACGCGAGACAAAGCACAGTAGGTCAATGTGGCCATATGTACGGGAGCTATCAGTCACAAATATCAATGTTCCCTCTGCAGGCGGAGGACACTGACAGAATAAGGCGAATCTAAATATAAAGCAAAAACTGTAACAGTATGTCGAAGAATATACTTAAAACTGTAGTGAAGGTATTACCTTGAACGGTAGCGTATATGAAGCATGACTACTTCGCAGTCGACTGAAAAGCGCCCCTTCAATGCGCATTCCAATTACTTAAAAAAAGGGGAAATACTCGGAGCAAGTGAGTGGTGACTGGACAATAGGCAGAACCGTGAATGACCTACACCTACGAGCCTAACGCTACTATGAGTGTACATCATAGCCCCCCAACGAACATTAAATGTTTGCGGAAATCAGTCAGTAGTATGCATGCACCGGATGGGTACTATCCGATTCGAGCGCATTCTGACTCGGTATGTCAGTCGGGGACAGGAATCAAGCGCGTCTCATTCATCCCCCTCATCCTCAACATCATCATTGTCGTCATCATCATCATCATCATTGTAAAGTCCAAAAGGAACTTTGATGTATCCCCAATCTGGATTGCTTACATGAGGACACGGTATCTCTATTCCCTAATTATTCTGCTCATTTACATTGCTTTTGAGGGAACGCCTCTGTTCTAATTGCGTAACGCCTGATAAGATTGTCGCTGGAACGGTTGGAGCACGCCTACGATGACGACTTGTAACGCTGGCCAATCGAACGGAGTTGCGCTGACCTGATGACGCTAGCTTAGCCGATGAGACGGAAAATTGAGCGAGCGTGAGAACGGTCCTAGCCGCAAGTGTTCGGATAGACGCTGAGCCCTCGGAACGGACGCACACGAGGGGGGTTACGATAGACGCGCGCTAATGACTTAGACGTGATCCCGTGACCCGACCGACTCCCAAGTAAGGTGAAGAGGAAAGAAAGACAGGCGGTCCTCTGTAGGCTCTTTTACGACCAACAAGGGGCGAATCACAGCCAGTGCTATGGGTCATTAAGTTAGGGAAAATTTCTACCACGACGAGGTAATAGTTTGTAAAAGGCCATTGTCAAAACGTGTGTAGTTGGGCCGCGTCTCGGAGTGGCGTAATCTGCTACGTTGTGAGGAGGAATTGGACCACGCTTTCCACGGCCATTCTGCCGGGGTTTCTGGCGCGTTTCTGCGGGGATTTTCGACGCGCCCGCAACAGCTTCACTGTTTCCTACAAGCGGTTACCATATCGTATATTTATTCCTTTCACGCGATCACTGACACATCCTTGACGATTCAAGATCATTCGTATTATTATGTTACGGTGACAATGCCCAAATACTCGCTTCGCCGCACGCTGTATAGTTTCTGCCCACTTGCACTACGATTGCAAAACCTATTCGTAAGTCATGGACTCTATTTAACATGCCTTATAGAAACACGATTACAGGATAATTCGTTTTATTCTTCTGCCCAGACCATGCATTAAGTTTAGGTTAATTTATTCATAGTTTCTATTTTAGTTTTCGTACGACGTAATTAGTTTAGGCTTCGTATCGTTTGTACGATCGTCATCATCATCATCATCACAGCATCAGCATCAGCATCATTGTACCAACGACAGGAAGCCTAAACTAAGTACCTCGTACAAAACCAATAAACCTAGATTTAACGCACGGGTCTGGGCAGAAGAATAAAACGAAGTATCGTGTAACCGTGGTCCTATAAGGTAAAGTAAATACAGTACGAATAGGTTTTGCAATCGTAGTGGGAGAGTGCAGAAATTGTAAAGCGTGCCGGAAATTGGGCAGTGTCACATTAACAGGATAATATGGATGAGAGTGAAAGGAATAAATATACTATACGGTAACCGGTTGTAGCACACAGTGAAAGCAATGTAAAATGGGCAGAATAATTAGGGAATAGGGATACCGTGTCCTCACTTAAGCAATCCAGGTTGGGGATACATCAAAGTTCTTTTTGAACTTTACACTCCCCCAGTGGTTTCGTATTCCAGACGATGGCTTCCAAGTCAACAGTCTCTTCTTCCTTGTACGTTTCTAGTAGGCATGGCGGATTGACGTCTCTTCTCAATACACCTTTGCTTGTCCTCACCAGTGCTTGTCGAACTAAATGGTCTTTGCTCGTGATAACTTTCTCCCTGACACCCTCAGACCACAGACCTCTTGGTGTGCGTAAATCACAAACCAAAACTAAATCGCCCGCCTAAGATTTCGGATTTCAGTTAACCAATTCTACCTATTCTGCAGTGTCAGTAGATATTGATCCACCTAGGCCAAAACATATCGGACATATGCCTTACCTGTCTCCACCTTCTGCTCAATTTGATTGGTAAGTTGATCGGTGGGTATTCAAGCGATTGATCGTTTGCAAACGCTAGAAGCTGCAGAGGCGATATAGCGTCCTGCGAATCCGGATAGCCAGGTACCGCTACCAAAGGCCTGTCGTTCAATATCCTTTCGATCTCGGTGAGTGTCGTCACAACCTCGCCGTTAAGGATGTTGCATAATAATTCACGAGTCGATTGAATTAATCGTTCCCAAAAATCTCCGCGATGGCTCGCACATGGTGAATGGAACTTCCAGTCAACATAGACTTTGTGATTGTCTGATCCACGTGCTTCAGAAGATTGCGTAATTCTGCTTCAGCTCCGTGGAAATTCTGTCCATTATCGCTGTATACTACAGTCGGACAGCCGCGTCAAGTTGAAAACCGCGAAAACGCATACAAGAACGAATTGGTATCCACAGAGTGGAAAACTTCTATGTGAACTGTCCGTGTAGTCAGGCAACTGAACAAACCGCCATATCTCTTTTCATGTACGCGGCCACGTTTCACTATCAGCGGTCCAAAATAGTCGCTCCCCACTGCAGTGAACGCTGGTTGGTGGGTCAGACATTGGTCTGTTATAATTGGCGCCGTCAGCTGACTCAGTGGTTTCGCATGGTTAACGCGGCATTTGGCACATTTGAAAAGCATGCATCTTATAGACGAAACTCCACCTACGATCCAGTAGCGTTGATGACGATCGTACAAAGTGTGCTACGCACCAGTGTCCATTGGTGTAGTGGTAGTGAAGTATAAGAAGGCGAGTGACAAAGTGGCGACCGGTAAGTAAAATCGGATGCCTCGCGTCGTAAAGTACCGATAGTTGATCGGGCCTTCCACCCACCCGAATTATCCCATTAATGAAGAAGGGCTTGAGTCGTCTTAATCTGCATGACCTCACTTTTAAATTTCGAACTG